CCCGCAACCCCCGCCCGCCGCTGTGGTTGTGTCGCACAATGATGGTGCAGTTCAGCAACTAGCAAGGTGCAGTGGTTGATACCGCGTTGGGGGACAATTGTGTCCGCACACTTCACGTTGCGTCGGCAGTGGGCATGTGAAAGGAAACCTGCGCATGTGCTTGCTCGTTTTTTCTTACATAATGTTGGATGACCTGCCCATTTGGAAGAGAAGGGGGACGGTTATTCAATCCACAGTTATCACATTCCCTCTCATCGTGGGTAGATCGAGGATTGGAGCCAGGATAAACTGGGATCGAGGGTCAACGTTTCCTCGACATGACTATTTTTATGTCTTTTGACAGCTCTTGAAATTAATTGGCATTTGTTCGTGAATTTTAAAAAATGTACTCAGAATTTCTGACAGCCAGCAACACACATTAGATGTCACTTTTTGTCTCGTATAAAATAAATTCAAAGAGTTTTTACTTTTTCAAAACATAAATGCAGAGGTCATTCTGGAATTTGACTCTAATTTGGGAGCAACGCAAACAATTATAGACAGACTTTGTTTTAGAGCTGAACGATTTTGAAAAATTAGAAACATGGACATTGCACTTCTTATGATGTAAATTTATTGAGACATATGTGCATATACAGTATACAGTGGACCTCCTCATACTCGCAGATCAGTAGGTTTATCAACATTTCTAAAGTATGTGCGTGCGTGTGTGTGTGTGTGTGTGTGTGTGTGTGTTTCCCGAATTGTCGCCTTTGCGATTTAAAAATTGCATTTCCTATATTCCAATGTTGAATTGAATTTTGTTAATTGTTCAGCCCTAGTCTGTATGTAATTCAGGAGTTAGCAAGCTATAAACAAAGATAATTGTGTCTTTAAAACCACCACCACATCACTTTGCCTTTGGAAAATCTGGCTAGCTTAATGCTAACTAACTATGCAAAACACCATCTGCTAACACTGCTCACATGTAATATAAGAAATACACCAAAAATCATCTTCTTCATGGCACTTATTTTCAGTACTGCATAATAATAATTAAAAAAACAATACGAGTGGAAATGTGTTAATCGCCAAATAAACAGAAAATAATGATTTTCATTGTCGCTTCACCGCTTGAAAAATATTGTGTAAATCAACCCCAGTCCGCTTGTTATGTAATCTAAATTTATTATTTAACCATTCAATGTGAAGAGTAATGAATGACAAATAACTGATATACGCAGAAGTACAGAACTGCAAAACCAAGTTTTGTTTCGAGCCTGAGGCCGGCTCATAAAGACGTCCGTGTGAAGCTTTTGTAGCGTCACTGACCAATAGGAGCCCTTTGTACATGAATATTAATTAGCTGTCCATCCTGAAGAATGGATGCAACAGAACTAACTTAATACTCGTCACGTTTGGGGGGCGGGGGGGGGGGAGTTGGGTTAAAAAAATACCAGTGTTCGCGTCACGTGTTCACTCCAATTGTTGTTCCTGCAGAAATTCGTCTCCGTGTGTCTTTTTTGAAGCAGGTACGTAACGTGCTGGCCCCTCCCCTCCCGGACACGTTGCCCGGGGAGAGGCTCCACGGGCTAGACGGAAGCCTCCCGCCCTGCCCGCCCGACGCTGCCGGCCCGTCAGAGTCAGTCTGCTGCTCTCATGCTGCTCTTTCCACCAGACTGTCCGTCCGCACCACACCACCAGGCGGAGGGAAACACTCGCTTGACTCCTGGTAAGCTTCGCTGCTCTGCCTCCATCCTTCACCGGCTCACCTGCTTCCACTTGTGGGTGGCGGGTTTGTTTGGAATAGCCGTTCATCGTCCCACGGGGGACCACCGCTAACTCCGACCGCCGCTGTCTGTCGCACAATGATGGTGCATGCAGTTCAGCAACTAGCAAGGTGCAGTGGTTGATACCGCGTTGGGGGACAATTGTGTCCGCACACTTCACGTTGCGTCGGCAGTGGGCATGTGAAAGGAAACCTGCGCACGTGCTTGCTCGTTTTTTCTTACATAATGTTGGATGACCTGCCCATTTGGAAGAGAAGGGGGACGGTTATTCAATCCACAGTTATCACATTCCCTCTCATCGTGGGTAGATCGAGGATTGGAGCCAGGATAAACTGGGATCGAGGGTCAACGTTTCCTCGACATGACTATTTTTATGTCTTTTGACAGCTCTTGAAATTAATTGGCATTTGTTCGTGAATTTTAAAAAATGTACTCAGAATTTCTGACAGCCAGCAACACACATTAGATGTCACTTTTTGTCTCGTATAAAATAAATTCAAAGAGTTTTTACTTTTTCAAAACATAAATGCAGAGGTCATTCTGGAATTTGACTCTAATTTGGGAGCAACGCAAACAATTATAGACAGACTTTGTTTTAGAGCTGAACGATTTTGAAAAATTAGAAACATGGACATTGCACTTCTTATGATGTAAATTTATTGAGACATATGTGCATATACAGTATACAGTGGACCTCCTCATACTCGCAGATCAGTAGGTTTATCAACATTTCTAAAGTATGTGCGTGCGTGTGTGTGTGTGTGTGTGTGTGTGTGTGTTTCCCGAATTGTCGCCTTTGCGATTTAAAAATTGCATTTCCTATATTCCAATGTTGAATTGAATTTTGTTAATTGTTCAGCCCTAGTCTGTATGTAATTCAGGAGTTAGCAAGCTATAAACAAAGATAATTGTGTCTTTAAAACCACCACCACATCACTTTGCCTTTGGAAAATCTGGCTAGCTTAATGCTAACTAACTATGCAAAACACCATCTGCTAACACTGCTCACATGTAATATAAGAAAACCTTTATTCATCTGGAGAAATTCCCAATTTACAGCAGCAAAGTATGCCAGTATATGCCAATACCCACAGGCATTTATTCTTTATCCTCTACAAGAAAATACTACTGCATCTTACTGTGAGTCACAGTAATGGTGGAAGTACTACTTTTCTCCATTGTGCATGTTTGTATTGTACTGCCTCCTTGTGGCACAATGAATTGGATTTTAAAAAAATTAATGATAGTTGTTATTTTTGATTGTCAGGTCAGTGGTGCTCTCTATTGGCTGAAAATCTGCTTCCATCATGTCATCACCCTCAGACTCTGATAACTTCACTGACTGGTTCGTCCCTGATGAAAACAGCGGGGCCTGCCTCAAGAGATTCACTCCTCCGCATGCAGAGGCCCCAGCGGTGCAGATGATTGCGTCATCGTCCTCAGCTACTACTTTGAAGGAATCTCCTACCACCCTATTTCACTCTGGTGCCTTCTGGAGGACGAAGAGGAGAAGTGTCTGCTCCAACTGTGATGATGGAGATTACTGTGTGTCCCCTGCAAACTGTACAATTCCCCAGGAGACCCTCATGGTATTTTCAGTTAAGGGAGATAGCCCAGGTTGCAAGCAAGGGCCATCTTGTGTATCGCCGAAGCGCCTTTCAATCAGGAAGAGAACTTTAGATGGACATGGCGCTCATCCTCAACCGGACACTCAAAGTGAGCTTTTCTCACTCAAGGTGAGAAAAGTGCATCCCTTTAATGTAACAACCATTTGCACAAAACGGATAATATGGAGCCACTTTCTGAACATTTAAGGGGGAAATCTAGTAAAAAATCATTCTGGAATTTGACTCTAATTTGGGAGCAACGCAAACAATTATAGACAGACTTTGTTTTAGAGCTGAACGATTTTGAAAAATTAGAAACATGGACATTGCACTTCTTATGATGTAAATTTATTGAGACATATGTGCATATACAGTATACAGTGGACCTCCTCATACTCGCAGATCAGTAGGTTTATCAACATTTCTAAAGTACGTGCGTGTGTGTGTGTGTGTGTGTGTGTGTGTGTGTGTGTGTGTGTGTGTGTGTGTGTGTTTCCCGAATTGTCGCCTTTGCGATTTAAAAATTGCATTTCCTATATTCCAATGTTGAATTGAATTTTGTTAATTGTTCAGCCCTAGTCTGTATGTAATTCAGGAGTTAGCAAGCTATAAACAAAGATAATTGTGTCTTTAAAACCACCACCACATCACTTTGCCTTTGGAAAATCTGGCTAGCTTAATGCTAACTAACTATGCAAAACACCATCTGCTAACACTGCTCACATGTAATATAAGAAAACCTTTATTCATCTGGAGAAATTCCCAATTTACAGCAGCAAAGTATGCCAGTATATGCCAATACCCACAGGCATTTATTCTTTATCCTCTACAAGAAAATACTACTGCATCTTACTGTGAGTCACAGTAATGGTGGAAGTACTACTTTTCTCCATTGTGCATGTTTGTATTGTACTGCCTCCTTGTGGCAAAATGAATTGGATTTAAAAAAAATTAATGATGGTTGCTATTTTTGATTGTCAGGTCAGTGGTGCTCTCTATTGGCTGAAAATCTGCTTCCATCATGTCATCACCCTCAGACTCTGATAACTTCACTGACTGGTTCGTCCCTGATGAAAACAGCGGGGCCTGCCTCAAGAGATTCACTCCTCCGCATGCAGAGGCCCCAGCGGTGCAGATGATTGCGTCATCGTCCTCAGCTACTACTTTGAAGGAATCTCCTACCACCCTATTTCACTCTGGTGCCTTCTGGAGGACGAAGAGGAGAAGTGTCTGCTCCAACTGTGATGATGGAGATTACTGTGTGTCCCCTGCAAACTGTACAATTCCCCAGGAGACCCTCATGGTATTTTCAGTTAAGGGAGATAGCCCAGGTTGCAAGCAAGGGCCATCTTGTGTATCGCCGAAGCGCCTTTCAATCAGGAAGAGAACTTTAGATGGACATGGCGCTCATCCTCAACCGGACACTCAAAGTGAGCTTTTCTCACTCAAGGTGAGAAAAGTGCATCCCTTTAATGTAACAACCATTTGCACAAAACGGATAATATGGAGCCACTTTCTGAACATTTAAGGGGGAAATCTAGTAAAAAATGTTCTTGACTAAAGTAACTCAACTCCACTAACGGAACACTTTAAAACAACCACCTCTACAAAGTGCTGTACATGGAGCAAAAATAATTCATTCAACAATAAATTAATAACCGACAGTATGAAACTAAAAATCAAGTCTCATGCTAAAGCCAAAGAATAAAAATAAGTTTTAAAGATGGGCAGCAAGGGGGCTTGCCTAACGTTCTTTCCAAAGAGAGGGACCAGCAAAGGAAATGAATTCAGCAGATTAATCCACCTGTTTTCATCCATTTTTGGCGACTGACATTTTGACGTTCTCCCGCCTTCTGTTGTCGAATGAAATTGATTTCAAAGTGGCCTCGGGCTCGCAGGGCGAATGTCAGTTTCAGTTGACATCAGGGGGCAGTACAGAATAAAATGTCAGCCCCCTTAGATGGGTGAAAACAGGTTGATTGATCGACTTCAATCTTATTCCACCAATGCTATTCCAGAAAGTGCTGTAATTGCCAATGAATGCTGCAAAATGGCACCAAATTTGCTTTACCCTGAGGAGAAAAACAGTGACTGGTGAGTTTTCCAGTGAATATCAGGATATGTAAAATAAATGAAGAGTGAGTAGTTAAAATACTCGTACATGGTGTGCTATACTTGTGATGTCATTACTATGACTTCCTGAACTGGTTTCTTCCAGTAGTGAATGGAGGCCCTGCACTGAAAAAACCCTCCATTTGTTCACCTCAGTGGCTCCTAATGGCAGCGGTTGTAAATGACCAATCACATGCAGGTGAAAATTAATACGTCCTCCGACAAAGCCAGAGATTTATCTAAACTTGGATTCAAATGTCTCCCTCATCCTGTGGTCAGGTGAGGGAAGCAATTGGCAGGGCCTATGTTCTCCAAGTGGCGATGAAACAAACATTGAAATGGTGCGGTGCAGATAGTGCAAAAGCTAACAGGGTCATTTCCTCCACATAGTGCATGGAGTTGCAGTGCTACATCCAGCCTCTGTCATCCATCCTACGAGGTTTGAGATCTGGCAGGTACTCTGCACGTAAGTGTTTTTTTTTTTTTTGGGATGGCAGATTTGTTATTGATTGAAAACTGCATTAAAAATTGATGCTCTCCAAAATCACCCACATCTCAGTAAATGTTCGTTCCATCCACCCATCCATTTTCTTAACACATATCCCAATTAGCGAAATCTCAGATGATTGTTTTTTTTTTTTTTTGCACACAACAGCACATACTGTATTTAAGGAGGGTTTTGATCACCATGGAACATTTGGGGGAGCCCTGCAAGTGCAAAATGAAAGTTTGAAATGATGGAATTGAAAGTGTTTGTGAAAAAGGGAAACATTAAATCAATTGGGTCGATGATTTGGAGAAAGCAAGCAATGGCATTTAAGCCTTTCTTTTTTCTTTATGATTTAACTCGCACAGAGTGCGTGGCCATTGGATCCGCAGGTACATTGCGGTATAAACTTGGAAATGTCCACCAGGAAAATTGCTCCGGAGAACTGTGATCGCCGGTTGTCACGTTGGACATTGACAGCGTGGTGGTTCACGCAATTCTCAATCCCTCATTTCAAATGCTCCGTGATAGGCAGGTGATCAGTCCGGACTCTAGTCCACCTTCAATATCCATGTAACCCTAAACAGGATAAATGATACCTCAAATTAACAAATTGTTATTCTAGATTAAAAACTACAGGTACAATCTGATTTGGTCGAGTGCATACCTCTACCGAGACAAAATAATTGTAATTTGATTCGTTACCAGAGTTTCTGGTCGAAAGTTAATTGATTTGTCTTTTATTCACTCCAAAGCTACCCATCAAATGCTCATTTTGCTGGTAAGAAACAAAACATACTATATCTACGTTCTATTATGTTGGGCCCCATCGATTAATCGGACAGCAGATTTATCGGCCAATGTTAGCCCTTTGCATATTATCATAATCGGCCTGAGTTTTGCAGATTAAACACATATAAAGGTAGTTCCTTACGAAACAATAACTGCTGTTCAGTGTTGGAATCACTCGGAATTGTGTCGTTGTGCTGTTAGTCCACGAGATGGAGCTCTGACTCCATTCATTGGTCGAAGTATCGTCCTCGAGACAGTGGCTGCGCCCTCCGAAGGCAGCATTTTCGGCCGCATGATGGTGCTTTCGGCGCAATTCGACCGCACGTGGTTTCCAAATTCTCGAAAGACAATTCGCAGGCTAGGTCTTTCGACGCCTTCAAAGGCTCCACTTCGTGTATGTAGCCTATGTGGAATGCATAAACCCTGGCGAATTTGGACACGTTAATTTGTGAATTTTGAAACCACACACGGGCAAGTCGCGCCGTAAGTGACGTCACGGGAACGAATACGGCCTTCAGACGACGCAGCTTGTGAATTTGCATCGTAATTGGCATCAACCCCCCCCCCCCCCCCAAAAAAAAAAATCCATATCGGTCGGGCCTTATATGGTAGTTAATGTATATTGCAAGTGGTTTGTCGTCAGAAGTGAATTACAATCCTGTTTGGACTTTGTTTTTGTTGTGGAGGCATGTAAAACAGCAGTTGACACGATGATGCCACAGCAAATAAACCTGATAATACATTTGCACCCAGAGCCACATGCTCACTGCACCCTTGTCTTCTCTCCACAGGTCTCAGCAGTTTCCAAGAGAGCGTCGCAATTGACCGTATCCAGAGAATAATGGGGGTCCTTCAAAATCCGAACTTGGGGTAAATACATCTGACTAAGGATGGGAAATGTGTATTATTGTTAGGGTGTTCATAAATTCAGTTTCAGGCAGTGTGGAGTCACAGGCTCCCACCCGCTATTATTTACATGTCAAGTAAACATTCCATTCTTGACTGTTTGTGACTGTTGACATTTTCTAGTCAGTCAGGATGTTGAGCCACAGAAGCATCACCAGTACTCACAACTGCTGAAAGTCAAACTACAGTAGACAGACACAAAGCGATTTTGATGACAAATTGTCTTTTTTTTTTTTTTTGGTCTTTTAAACAAGAATTCACCAGTGTTTAATGTCAGTTAAACATCTCGTACATCGTTGCCCACATCAAAGAATACTTCTTGGACTTTCAATGTCCTCCAGTCACATCACATGAAAGGTCATCTTCACTTAAACAGGCTGGCTCATTTTACTGCTTCGTGGAATCATTGGCTGGCACTCTGTCGGAGTTTGTCTTTTCCCTTTCTAGTTCAGTGACGCCTGTGACGTTGGTTTAACAATCACCAGAACACTCAGATGTTCAGCTAAAATTCTATTTCGGTTCTTATGTAAAATTTGTACAATAATCTCAAACTAGGCTATAATCTGTTGTATTTTACTGTTCGTTCACATTTTCATGACATTTTGGTGGGACACCATTAAATACATATCGAAACCTTTCCACCGATCAGATCGGTCGATACTTTGCATTTAATGCACAATTTGTCATCAACCGGAATGTCTTGAATTCGCTGAATGATCGGTGTCACCATTGAACGGCACCACAAAATAAAACATTATTGCTGCAGTGTTGCGCACATAGACGGTGACTTGTAGTGAGCTGCCACAAATGCATTTTGGCTGTTACTAAAAGATTTTGGCGCTACCTGTCAATTTCTAACTCTTGTCAGGAGTTTTATTGTGGCACGGAAAGCTGCTCTGCTGCTTGCGTGGTCCAAGGTCTGAGTCTGCTCATCTGGAGCAATACCAATTTCCTTTGTGATGCGAAACTGCAAATACAGTGCCTCAAATGACTAAAGTATCAACTGTATCAACGCATAAGTTCAGGGATCCATCTTAGTGGTATCAGTTCAAACCATATCGATCCGCCTCGCTCCTCCAGCAGGCGTAATGGTCGTCTCATCAGTTTCACAAACCATTCGGTGCGCTTTTTGTTGTCTTAGTGTACATTTTGGCTTGGAAGCTCCTCTCCATGTTGGATAAAGCCTACATATAGTCGTCAGGGTCTTCTGAGTTTTGGATTACCCTGCGAAAAGACGTTTTCCGTAACCAAACCAACTATGAGCAGAACAAGTGTTTTGTTTTGTTTTGTGTGTGTGTGTGGGGGGGGGGGGTAAATATAGCTCATATAAATTATTCACACAGACATATTGCTCCACTTGTGATCGATTATCTTTTTTTTTTTAACTCAGTGATCGTTGATTGGCCCCCAAAATACTGTAAATTAGTCAAAAGCCCAATCTACAGGATACACTTTTAATTGGATGGATTGTTACTGTTGTCCAAATATTTCTCCACATTTGTTGCCAAAGTCTGATTGGAATAGGTACCAGCAACGGTGATTGTAAATCCTTGGCCTTGCACACAAGCTGATGATGATGATCTCAAGAATTTAGCTCAAGACATAAAAGTGATATGTGGGCCGTGATGAAAGATTTATTTTGTCAGACACAGTGTGTGTGGGTGGGACCACACGTGTTGCAGCCTCGGCGGCTCAAGTCTGTATCACGTGTCTCCCGCAGCATCACATTTCACAAATCCGTGCTGTGCTCGGGGGGAAATATTGGAGTTGTTCACGGAGTGTCACCATTGGCTTTAAGTCGACAGTTGATCTAATTTCAGATGGAACTCAGCGATTGGAAATCCTGAAGTCAAGGTTGTAATAGTAGCGGTCAGAAGGCCGTATTGTATGGGTGTGCTCACCATGCACTTCAGTGTCATGAGATTAGTGGGCCCTCACAGTTTTTTTTTTGTTTGTTTGTTCTGTTTCTTTCTTTCTGTTTTTTATTTCTCACAGTTTTTTTTTGTTTGTTCTGTTTCTTTCTTTCTGTTTTTTATTAGGGAAATCCCAATCACACTTTTTTGGCACCTGAGTGTTTGGTTTCAAGTGTCTGCCTTAGTATTTGCCAATACTGAGTCCTGGTACAATACCTCAGCAACACATTGAGGAAAAAAAGAGCATGCACCCGATTTTTCTCAAATTGATAGAGAAATATAACAAAATACATATCAATGTACAGGACGCTTTATAAAAAAATGAATGTTCATGAAATTGCCCGGGGACGTAAATGGCACCAATTTGGTGGAACGGCTGTATTAGCATTACCAGAGAATAAGGGATTCCTCTGTTTGATACGTTTGATTTATCTAATGGTAAACCAAACATTTACATCATAAATAGACTTGGGCGGGCTAAAATTACAAGTCCACACAGCTGCGTAATTGTTAGCTACGCGCACGTCTTTCATCTAGAAACGACACTGTGGACTGATGTACGACCTCGTAAAATGCAACTAGCGGGGAACAAGCTTGCTTGTCACCAAATAATTTACACTCGTTAAACTTCCGTTAGAAGCTGTGTCGGCTGGACTTGTCACAATCGCTAAAATGTCTGTCTCACCCTCAGCTCTCTCAACTCGTTGAGGATGCCATTTAACGAGGAGGCTTATTTGTACAGTACAGTATTGGGTAAAGCAGACTTATTTAGTAGGAAAACCTGTCTCTGTCTGCAGTGGAGAAGACGTGTCTGTGTGCTCGTCACGCTCACTCCATCGCTACTAAAAACAAACAAAAAAAAACGTCACATTGTGTCATATAAAATTAAGTTACTACTGTTCTATTTAGAAAGATATTTGAACATTTGGATTATTTTGTAGCTTTGTGGCCTTTCAATGTTCAGAAAATGCTAAAACCGATCTATTTACGCAACGGCGGCTGAGCTGAAAATCACGTGATCGAATCGGGACTTTCGCTAGTTTTTAATTTTACACCTGTGGACAAAATGGTTCGGACTTCCCATGTTAAAAAGCTAAGACTTAAAACTGACAAGAATGTCCCCAAATTTTGTAGCGCAGCACAATGATTTAATAATAATAATAATAATCAAACTGCTCTGGCCAAAAATTCTGGTTTAGCTGCTTAATATTTCATTCCACAACCCATTGAGGAAATCCAGGGCCAATTTACCATTTGTCGAAAAATTCAAAGTGTACATGTCCAGAAAGGCAAGACACGTGGTGCACGCGAGCCACATTGTTTTCATTATTCAAGGACAAGTTTACAACTACTACAGGAATGAGTGAGGGCGAGG